CAATAGGCTTGATTAGTTCTATTGTTCATAGAAGGTCATGTGCCCCATCATCTGACCCGTGTCGTGTTACGTGTATGTAATGAATGCAAGCGGGGGGTAATGGGGCCCCACTTATACCCAACACAAAGAGGGAAAGAGGGACAAAAACAAGGGGACTTTGATCCCCCGCCTGCATTCAGTACATTCACATAACATGACACGAGTCAGATGATGGGGCACATGACCAATAGCTATGAACAATAGAACTAATCAAGCCTATTGTTATGTTAGTCGATGGTCCTCTTTTGCATGTGACTAACATTTTGTCCATGTGGAGGCAGGGCTTATAAGGCTGAGTTCACCTGAAACTCAGCAGACTGAAGAAGTCTCTTGGAGGAGAGACGAAACGTTTCACTAAAGAAGAACCCATCCAGAGGACCTACTTATTTTTTCTTTTTGATATACAAGTTGTAGTCTGTTACACTCTTACATTAATAAATTTAATAAAAGAAAATAATGACAAACCCATAACCAAGTTGTTTGTAAATGTTTAAAACAAGACTGGAAGACTTCCTAAAGGCCATATTTACTCAGGAAGTCATTCAATTCTTACAAACTTTACTCTGTAAAAATCTTTTGAAGAAAGAGAAGTTTGAAGATTTGAATAGGCTGAAGAATTGAGTTCAGTTTTTTAATCAAAGGATTGAAGTTTCAGGGTCATAAAAGGACACATGAGGATTTCATGTGACCTTTGTTCAGCCTGACCATAGACAGAGCAGGGCTGTTCCTCCTGACACCTCTTATTTCTCTGCAGCTAAAATGATCGACATGACAGAAGAAGAAACGTGTTTCTCTGGGAACAACAAAGGCAGTAATTCAGAGATCCAGTCCCTGAATTCTTTCCAGTCGGACTCTTGTGACGACAACGGTAAGACACACCCACTACAAAACAAAAAGGTTTCAGAAGCCCCAATTGTTATTTATTTTATTTTGCTTGTTCATTTGTTTGGCTACGATAGGTGTCTTCTATATTTATAAACTGTGCTTACCATTGCCCATTATAACTGACATTTACGTTTACATTTTGAGATAAACATGAGTGAATTTTTGGGATTAAACTACGTTTTTCTGACAAGTTTCCAAAATGCAACATTGAAACTTGACTGTTTTAGACCATCTGAATATATTAATAACTAGATTTGAGCACACTGAGGGAGAAACATGGTTTCCACTGTGTTACAACATCCTGTCTGGATGTGGCTCCTGTCATACTGGATCCTACTGACAGGGAGTTAAAATTAAACGTGACACAACAACACATTCCCAAACATTCACCAAGGTTTTCTGACAGATACTGTATGTCCAACTCATTTTCATTCAGTCATTTGTCTAATGAGTCTGCAGGAGGTACATTCTTCAGAAACACTGACTGGACCTCTGAAGAAAACCTCCTAAAGACCTGGTGTTGATGGGGACAGGCACAACAATTTGTTATTGTTTGGCCCAAGTTTGCATTGTATTTGGAACAAATATAATAATTTCTCCGTAGTTTACTGTGAAATTTTCTAATGTTTGTTGAAGTTTTAGTCTCCAAACTAATAAGCTTAGATTGTGCCTTAGGGCTGGGAAATATTGAAAAATGAATCACAATTATCGTATTTATTCAAGTATAATACCATGAATTTTAATCCATAAAATCATCCATAAAGTTGGGGGTAGTATTATACTCGGATAAATATTTTTACTTATGTATTTTAACTGAATCGGCTTCATTCAAGAAAATGCCTGAGTCCGGAAACGAGACTGCGTCGTAAAAAGCAGTTGAAACGAGCTTACCTCTGACACTCTTCCATGTTTCAGAGCGAGCTAATAACAGATCCAGGCAGGCGACATGATGTGAAAAAAAGAAGGAAAAAAGCAGTCCTTCAGCTCAGTAATGATAAACAAATGGCATTAGTGTGTGACCGAGCCGCTCCTCGAACAACAACAAACACATGTTCGTCTGTAATGGCTGCCGTCTACCGGTGTTCTAAAAAAGTTTGTATCCCTGAAAAAAGTTTCCCCACCAGAGGGGGCGTAATCTGGGAAGTAATCTGCTTTTCCCCCACAAGATGGCCCAAATGTCATGTGAAGTCTCTGACTTTTGTGTTGGCGCCTCCTGGTGGACTATGTGTAAAAAGCCAGAATTCATATGATGCTCAAAAATCATAGTTTGCTGATATGTATTTTCAGTCAAAATGCCTTTTGTTGTTAAAATAAAATGAACAGTCCAATGATCACTTTACTGATATGTACAGTATAAAGACTGCAAAGGCTGAAAAATCTTGAAGTCTGTATGAAATTAGAGGTAGTTTGAGGATTAAATTTTTTATGCTTTTTAAGCTAAAAAAAAAGGGGGGTCGTATTATACATGAGATCATATTATACATGAATAAATACGGTAATTGTGGTACTTAGCCAAGGAGGAAATCTCCAGTCAGTCTGTCTGCTGGCATTGATCTTATTAATTGTCAAGTGCCAAAAAATAACCATTTAAAGATCTTCTGACCATTAATTGCACACGATACAATTTTGCCCAACCCTACTGTGCCTACAGTCTCACACAATAACACAGGAACATCTACTTGAGACCAGCTGTGTTTTCACAGTGCAGGCTTAGAACTGAGGCCTTTCACCTGAACGTTGGGAGCTTCCTTCATGGAGCTACATCTCTGGGTCTTTATTGGTCTGAACAATATTCACCCACCTTATAGGGTAACTGGGATTCAAACAGCTGTTAATAAAATCTTTGTAACGTTTGTTACAAAAGCATCAAATAGGCAAACAGATTTTTTTTCCAAACTTTATTCATTTCTTAAAAACAAAATCTATGTATAATAAAAAGAAAAGTAAATACAATGAAATGAAGTGAAATGCAATGAAAGGCAGCAGAGAGAAGAAAAATATCTTATAATATCTGCCTTTTTTCTCAAGTGTAATTTCAAACAATAGTAATCTTCCCAAAACAAAACAAAAACATCAAATCTTTCTAGAACAATTTATATGGACACACATTATACTGTTTCTTATTTTTTCAACAATCTAACTCCATCATTCTCTTGAACATGTTCATTGATCTAACATTTTTAACATCATTTTCCAGATTATTCCACAATCTCACTCTTTGGATTGAGGTGCACCGTCCTTTCAGAATGGTTCTAAATTTCATGAACGTCTTTGTCCCTTTAAGATTATAACAGCTCTCTCTCTTTGCAAAGTATCATCATACAAATAATTCTCTGATGTAGCTCCAAGTCACTCACTGATGGGTGCAGTGTTGTTTTCTTCAGCTGTCCTCTAAGGACATTGACAAATGTCCTGACGCATTTCTGTAATCCAGGTAGAAAAAAGAACAAATAAGTAGGTCCTCTGGATGGTTCTTCTTTAGTGAAACGTTTCATCTCTCCTCCAAGAGACTTCTTCAGTCTGATGAGTTTCAGGTGAACTCAGCCTTATAAACACTGCCTCCACATGGACAAACAGGTTAGTCACATGCAAAAGAGGGCCATCGCCTATTGTTAAGTGATGGCCCTCTTTTGCATGTGACTAAGGCCTGCATCACACTACAAGAAAATCAGGCTGATTTTTGCCTTTCCAACAATCTTAAGGAAGTCCAGATTATCTTATTGGCTCTAAAGATAACCTGAGCAGATTTTCCTGCCGTGGATGGTGAGTTAAGAGTGATCTAGTCGGCTCGGGAGGACGTTGGGACCGCTCCGACCTCAAATCGGGGATATTCAACGTTAGATTTTTTGGCCCAATATCACAGTGTGTGTGTAGTGTTCACACGAGCTCTCAGCCTGTTGAATGAGACGTGTAGCTAATCAGAAAGCGAGGTGATGTAAACATGGAGGGGATTCCAGAGGACAAAAAAACTGTCATGACTCAGCAGAAAGTCTGCTGGATGCTAAAAGTCCTGTGGAATTGTTTCTCCTCTGGTAAAAATAGCCCACAAGCAATCCACTTTGTTTCTTCCTTGTTGCAAATGTTTATTTACTCTGAACTCACGTCTCTCTGGAGGTCACGTGAGATTTTTCCTCGGACATCTGAATTCTCACGAGATTTCAGGAAGTCTCGCGTGATTTAAAATCTAACATGTTCATGAATGAAATATCTTTTCATGTGTGGTGTGTTGTCTCTTGCCGTGTGACTGTACACCACACACTGTAGGACCAAATCTGGTAGATCCAGGATTTTTTATCCTCACGTGTGTCTCTCAGTCTTTGAAAATCGGCCGACTGTTTTAAAATCTTGTAGTGTGACTCAGCCTTAAATAGAGCTAATCAAGCCTATTGTTAGGCGATGGGCCTCTTTTGCATATGACTAACCTGTTTGTCCATGTGGAGGCAGTGCTTATAATGCTGAGTTCACCTGAAACTCATCTGACTGAAGAAGTCTCTTGGAGGAGAGACGAAACGTTTCGCTAAAGAAGAACCATCCAGAGGACCTACTTTTTTTTTTTTGACACTGACAAACGTCCCCACCAAGTGTCCAGAACAAAAATATACTGAAACATTTACTTATGAAGCCTTCGTGACTAAAACCTTAGAGTTATAAACTGAGGACTGCAACAGAACTGACTCATCCTGTCTGGAGGTCAGGGACCTGTTGGAAACTAGGGCTACGTTCACACTGCAGGTCTTAATGCTCGGTTCCGATTTTTTGAAAAAATCCGATCTTTTTGTGTGAATGTTCACATTACATTTTAAATGTGACCTGCATCAGACTCCTGTGTGAACGCTCCACAGCACTGATGTGACACGCATGMGCAGTAAAAGACGTGACGTCTCATCAGCCGGCTTGTTTGTTTACAGAGATAGCATGGATGCTACATTTTGCACATCGAATCGGAAGTTGTTTAATCAGAGCCGATTAAGTAATTATCTGACCTGCTTCTTTAGTTCAGTGTTTATATCTGAA